AGCACACACACATATTTCTGAACCATTTGAGATTTAGTCGTACTCATCATTAGATTTCATCCCTAATTTCCACAGCACATAAATTCAGTGGGATATATATTGCTCTACACAAACACACTACTAGATTGCTCTCGGCAAAATTTAAATTATTACAAAAGTATTATCTAATACACTCCATATATAAGACTTTCCAATTATCCCATTAATGTCCTTTATAGCTGTTTTTTTTTTTTTGTTTGTTTTTTGAGACATAGTTTTGCTCTTGTTGCCCAGGCTGGAGTGTGCTGGTGTGATCTCAGCTCCCTGCAACCTTCACCTCCCAGGTTCAAGCGATTCTCCTGCCTCAGCCTCCCAGGTAGCTGGGATTATAGGTGTGCACCACCACGCCTGGCTAATTTTGTATTTTTAGTAGAGATGGGGTTACTCCATGTTGGTCATTATAGCTGTGTTTTTTAATCAGTCATTGTACATTACATTCAGCTGTCGTATCTCGTTTCCTTTAAACTAGGACAGTTCCTACAACTTTTGTTGTTCTTTGTGTTGTTGATACTACTGAAGAATCTAGGCCAACTGATTTCAGAATGTCCCTTAGTTCTGATATATTGATTGTTTCCTTGTGATCTGATTCATGTTGAACATGTTTTCTAGGACTTTGGTAGGGCATCACATCATATCCCCTTGTCCCATCACTGGGGATAAGTTTGACCACTTGATAAGGTGTTGACCACCAGATTCCTTCCTCATAAAGATAATTTTTCCCGTCAGAATTAGTAAGTTATCTTGTTGACCTGTTCTTTGCCTCTTAAAGTTCAAAGCTTTTTCCAGTAGAACTTTAGTATGAAGGACTGAGGTCCAGCGTGGACATGGGGCTGGTGTAGTTGTAAGTGGGGGAGGGAAGAGGTGCGGAAAGAGTCAGATGTATTGAGTACAACGAAGGGAATAAGCAGCATGTTGACACCTGGCAGATGAGGACCCTGCTGTGGTGGAGGGGAGCATTGGAAGAGAGAGTAGAGCCCCGGAAGAGAGAATGAAGTGCTAAGATAGAGAAAGCACGTGAAGGGAACTGTCTCTTGAGACCAGAAGGAACTTGGAGAATTTAGGAACCAGAAGTTGGCCAAGGGGTCTGGGATGCAGTGCAGGTTGGGTACCAGGTAAAGGTAGTAAGGTAGACCGGCCAGATTGTGAAGGTGTAGTTAGGTTTCTTATAAAAAACCCTTCCTTCAGAGAGCACTTGACACCAAATTGCGTTACTGCCAATTTGTGGTAGCTTTAGTGTAGCTCTCCAGGGGCTGTCTGTACATTGCTGGTCAGAGAGTATAAATTTACCAGTGGATTTATATCTCTAAAGGATCCAGTATGACATCAGCACCCAGTTTTGTGACTGCCACAGAATGGAATCAAAAGTCATAGTCCTGGAGAAATCCCATGCCTGTAAATGAGCTGTGTTCCTTGTTGATAGGACTTGGGACACATGCAGCCTTTCCAATTAAACGGCCAGTCAGTGACAGGACTGAGTTAGATCTGAGATAACACTTTGTTGTGGGAGCCTTGTTACTCAACAGAAAGACTGGGCAAGGCTGAAGGTGAGAGGAACCTTGGACATGGTGCTGAAGGGTGTCTGTGGGTGGGGGAGTGGGGACACGCCATGAGTGTCTATAAGGGAGGGAAAGGCCTGAAATGCTATGTCCTGCCATGTGCAGTGTCAAAGCGATGACCTGACAAGGGGCGGACTGCAGCTGGCACGTGCAGTGCTGGATCACTGCGTTCCATGGCCTGAAGAGACAGCCCCAGCCTCATGCAGTAGAAATCGGTTGTACAAGGAGGGGTTCTCTTTCCTGGCCTGTACTGAGTGTGCTTCCTTGATACCCTAAGGTCAATCAGATCCTAAAAAGCTCTCGGCTTGTCACGAACCAGTTATAATTATCTCTCCCTTTCTTGTTTCACCAGCAGCTGTAAAATACATATTAATGCTCAAAGAAACCCTACCAACTGATTTTACTGCCTTGATTTCAGAACAATAAAGATCTACCTTCCAACTCAAACATAATTAGGCTTGGCCCGTGTTCAGGCTTTGGCAGTTGCAGTGTTGTTGTTTGCAGTTTACACGCTATGTTCTTGGGTTCCTTCCTTTGGAGTTTATTTTATTCCCTTGGCCTGTTTCTGATAAGCCACTCCAACTGGTTGGACTTAATGTGTATAAATGTTTAAAAGGAACATTTTGTGGTGTCTGTACATACCTTTCAGAGCAACAGAGTAGAGTTCTAGACCCTGTAACTGCCAGACTCTGAGCAGAAAGGTTCTTGGCTTTGTCTTTCTAGGCTGCAAAAATATGCCAATTCATCAGCAGTGCCCCTTCCCCCAACACAGATCAGTGAGGAGATGGTGAGAGACTCTCAGCTTCCAGCAGCAGTGTCTAGCCAGCTGGTGGGGGGGTGATGTCTCCTCTCTTGTACCATTAGGTTTTGCACTCTTAAGGGCCATGAAGTGACAGCTAGCAGAAAATGCTTCTGGCAGCTCTCAGAGAGCCCTCAGAATGAGGGGGCAGGGGAGGGGCTGTCTGCCTGTACACATAGCACAAGAGCCAGACCCAGAACCCTTGATGAATGGAGTAGCAGGCCCAAGACTCACTGCCCTGACCCATTTCAAATCTAACAGAAAGAATTCTGATAAACAGGTAAAGAAATGCAGAGACGAGTGAAAACTCTGCTTCGCGTGACTCTGCAGGTAAAGAGGGTGTTTGAAGTAGTCAGGTGCGTGACTTGTCTGACAGGTTTGAGTTGTTAGTGGCTTAGGACTTTTGAAAATTGTTCAGCCTAATTAGTTCTGATAATATGTGCGTGTCTGACGCAGGCCATAAAAATGGCTGTTTTAATCAGCTGTTGACATGCAAGGTCAGGCTGCAGCCTCCAGCGCAGACACCTGGAATACCAATGACTGCCATTTGAGAAGGAGGTGGGAAGAGAGACTCAGTGCTCCTCATGGCACTGTTTATTGTCTCTCTCCAGACCAGGAATAGGTTGGGCAGGTAGAGGGACTCGGCTAGCTAACAGGATAGTGTTTATTTGATATGTTAGACATTTTTTTTGTCATCATCATTACATGACATTGTTATTCTGCCTTCCCTGAGAGGATACAGACCTGGGTCCTATAGGTTCAGTCTTTGTACTTGGTTTCCTGATGTGAAAACATGAAGCTATACCCTCATTCTGTGTGGTTTTAAGAATCTATGCAGGTAGGACTGAACCTGATAAAACTTCAAGAGATTTTCTTCTGATGTGACGAGTGAAGAAAACAGGTTTTTCTAGACAGGGCTCTGGAACGACGGAATGATGATGAATGTACTGAAAACATTTGTTAACTTTTATTCCCTAATTCTCCTACCTTAGAGTAAGGCCAGAGCAGAAACGGCGCTAGGTTCGCGTCACTTACATGTCTGAGTACCTGATGAGAGCTCACCTCTGTTGACAAGTGTAGCTGGAACAAGATGAGAAGGCGAAGGCTGAAGAAGTAAAAGATGCATTTCCTTACCTCAGGCAGTTTACAGTGCAGTATAATTGAGGACACAGGATCTAAAAAGGCGCCTGATCTAGCTGGACAAAGCTAGTGACATGCAGCCCCACAGTGACTGGCTAATTAGAATCGGTGTTTGTTGGTCCCTTGGCCATTGAAGCCAAATGGGGCTCTTTGGGAAAGGGTCTGTTGTCAGCCCAGTGGCTTTGGCATTTGTAAGACAGCATTGGCATCTTGGAGGGAGCGTACCTTGGTTGTCAAAGTAAGAGCTGTCCATTGCAGATCCCAATTTTTGGGTTTGCTGTTTCTATACTGGTATGTTGACACTGGTGCATATAATAAATACTTTAGATTTCTTCACATACACCAGCTGCTATAGATACTGGCTTTGAGCATTGAAAAACCAAGTATTTTCCATAGTGTACTTTCAATGACTGATTCTCCCCAACTTTTATAACAGTTGCCCATTTTTGGTTTGTTGTTGTTGTTGTTTTGTTTTGTTTTTGAGACGGAGTCTCACTTTGCTGCCAAGGCTGGAGTACAGTGGTGCGACCTCAGCTCACTACAACCTCTACCTCCTGGGTTCAAGCAATTCTCCTGTCTCAGCCTCCCGAGTAGCTGGGACTACAGGCGCATGCTACCACTCCCGGCCAATTTTCCTATTTTTAGTAGAGATGGGGTTTCACCATACTGGTCAGGCTGGTCTCCAACTCCTGGCCTTAGGTGATCCATCCGCCTCGGCCTCCCAAGGCGCTGGGATTACAGGCGTGAGCCACTGTGCCTGGCCCCAGCAGTTGCCTGTTTTTAATGGTCAGAGTAGCCTAAAGGCAGCCATGGTGTACTTAACCATGTACTCCTTGCCCGTGTTGTGAGTACTGGGTTACACCCACCTCAGATGGGGAGAAAATGACAAATTATTTGAGAAAACATCTTTGCTAGCTTAGTTTCTTAATCAGAAAGGAAGAGGAAGAGGGGAGCAGATGGAACAAGTCCTCTTGCCCTGCAGTTGAGAACAGCAGGGACAAGAAGGCCAGCAGGGTTAGCTAGTGTCTGTGTCTCTTCTACATGTCAGGAAGGACAAGGGGCCTGCTTGTGAGAAAACCTCACTGCCCAAGATGGCATTTCCCCCACTTTGGGAAAATCACGTTCTCTTCTGATACGCCTAATAGGTTGCTGTTATGGGCTGTGTGCTGGTCTTGGTAGCACTAAGTATATTAAGGTAGGTTTGGCCTTCGTGGTCTAAAGCTAAACTGCTAAGGGAGATTAAGTTTGTCCCCGCTCTGTGGTGACCTGGAACAAGTTGTTACTTGGTTCACCATCCACTACTTGAGCGCTGCAGAGTGTGCCTCAGTCCCAGAAGATGAAGACGATGGGCCAGGGGGTGGGCCATGGTAAAATGTTGGCATTTGCAGAATCTTGGATAGAGTATACCCAGTTTTGACCCGGTTTCTGCAATCACCTTCCCTTTCTCTCCTCCTTTTGAATCGCAGACTCTGGCCTGGTTGTCCCAAGTGTTTCCTATGAGCTGCATAAAAAGCTGTTGTCCGTGGCTGAGAAGCATGGGCTGACCCTGGAGCGGAGACTGGAAATGACAGGCGTGTGTGCCAGTCAGATGGCACTGACCCTTCTTGGAGGACCCAACAGGTAACTGCCTGTAAACTGGCAAGGACTCAATGTGGAGTGAGGGTGCTGTGCCTGGCCACCACCACAGTGCCTCTCGTATGTACACACAAGTTCATTGGGCAGTTTCTGCTTATCTGATGGGAGTATCTCTCTGAAGTCATTTTCCTGCTGTAGATGCTGCCAGGTTTCTTTGTTTGCCCCTGCTCAGACCCATCTCCTCGACATCCTCATTCTTCTCCTAGCAAGCTACCTTTTGACCCTCTCTTCCTGATAGCAGCCATCTGGCTTGAGACTCCTGGCAACTATAGAAGCCTTCCTTCCAGGAACCTTCGGAGACCTGGCCTTTGACACTCATCATTTACTTCACGTGGCTGGGATGCAAATCAGTCTCCGTACCCGAGAGCTTCCAGAACCACATTGACAACTGGGTAGGGGAGGTAGTTTGGCACCTTCCCACCTGCCCCTTAGGCTCAGACATCAAGGGCAGTGCCTTATTTTATTTGCAGACAGACTGATACCACATGCCAGACCTTCTCTTAGTCACGGGGGACCTGAAGAAGAAAAAAATACTGTGCCTTTCCTCCAGTAGCCCAGTTAGGTCTCTAGAAAGTATAGTCCTGTGGTAGAGGAAACACAGTTCTCCAGTAAGCCATATTACTGCCCCCAGCTGGAGAAACCAGTCACCCATCTGGAGCAGTGGCATCCAGGCTGAGCCCTGACGAACAAGGGGTGATTAATGTGGGCAAGCAAGAAAGAAGAAGGTATTCTTTTTTTTGAGACAGATTCTCACTCTGTCACCCAGACTGGAGCGCAGTGGCATGATCTGGGCTCACTGTAGCTTCTGCCTCCTGAGCTTTAGCCTCAGCCTCATGAAGTAGCTGGGACTGCAGGTGCGTGCCGCCATGCACAGATAATTTTTTGTGTTTTTGGTAGAGATAGGGTTTCGCTATATTGTCCAGGCTGGCCCCAAACTCTTGGCCTCAGGTAATCTGCCCACCTTGGCCTCCCAAAGTGCTAGGATTACATGTGTACGCCGTTGCACCTGTACAAGAAGAGGTATTCTGCTAGGATTACATGTGTACGCCGTTGCACCTGTACAAGAAGAGGTATTCTAAGTACAGGGAGTAGCATGTGCCAAGGGCAAAGAGAATCAAGAGACCACAGAACTGCTGGCAGTCCGTAAGTCATTCTGCGTGGCTGGAAAGTAGGGCCTCAGTGCAGCTGAGTGGTAGGGACCTGCAAAAGGGATTTCAGTAGAGCTATGACATGGTTAGTCTTGTGTTTTAAAAAGATGATTTTTAGCTACAGTGAGGACAGTAGATTCAATGGAGGCAAGACTGAAGGCAGTGAGATCAGGTAGAAAACTGCAGCACTTAGAAAACTGAGCCAGGGCCCAAATGATGGTGGCCCAACTAGGGAAGCAGAGATCAGAAGAGTGGACACATCAGGTTTGGTGGTGCATGCCTACAATCCCAGCTGCTCCAGAGGCTGAGGTGGGAGGATTGCTTGAGCCCAGGAGTTCAAGGCCAGCCTGGGCAACATAGTGAGACCTTGTCTATCTCTTAAAAAGAAAAAGAGAAGGTCAGGCGTGGTGGTTCACACCTATAATGCCAGCACTTTGGGAAGCCAAGGCGGGCAGATCACAAAGTCAGGAGATCGAGACTATCCTGGCCAATGTGGCGAAACCATTTCTCTACTGAAAATATAAAAATTAGCCAGGCATGGTGGCAGACACCTGTAATCCCAGCTACTAGGGAGGCTGAGGCAGGAGAATCACTATTGAACCTGGGAGAAGGAGGTTGCAGTGAGCTGAGATCATGCCACTGCCCTCCAGCCTGGCAACAGAGTGAGACTTCATCTCCCCCCACCCCTCAAAAAAGGATCTGAAATTCAGAGGGTCTGAGCTGATGCTAGAGATTTTGGAGTTGTCAGCTTGTAGATGAGATCATATAAGGAGAAGGTATGAAAAGAAAGGGCCTAGGGTAGGATTCTGGGGTACATCAGCATGTCAGACACAGTTATAAGGATGAAGAAGAAAGCCAGAGAGGTCAGAAACCAAGAGGGTAGTGTGTAAAAACCAAGGAAATAGTATTTAAAGAAAAAAGGGGCTGGGTGTGGTGGCTCACACCTGTAATCCTAGCACTTTGGAAGGCCAAGGTGGGCAGATCGCAAGGTCAGGAGTTCGAGACCAGCCTGGCCAATGTGGTGAAACCCCGTCTCTACTAAAAATACAAAAATTAGCCAGGCGTGGTGGCTGGCGCCTGTAGTCCCAGCTACTCGGGAGGCTGAGGCAGGAGAATTGCTTGAACCTGGGAGGCAGAGGTTGCAGTGAGAAGTTGCAGTGAGCTGAGATTGGGCCACTACACTCCAGGCACGGCGACAGACTGAGGCTCCATCTCAGAAAGAAGAAAGGAATAGCCAGCAGTGGCACTGCTGAGAGATCAGTCAGAATTAGAGTTGACAAGTGCCTGTTGGATTTGTCAGTAAAGAGGACTTGGGCAACCTTGTGGGAGAGTGGTGTCCGGAGTTGGGAGGTGGCTTCCAATGGGCAGGGCAGATCTGGGTTCAGTGGGGCAAGGAAAGCTTCCTTTCCCTGAACAGCACTCACAGATCCAAAGCCTCACGTGATAGGATCTTGGGATAGTTCCGTTTGGGAAAGGGATCCTGGTCCTTGGCTTGTGCTTCCAGGCATGGTGTTTGGGGTCTGTGCCAGAAAACTGATACTTCATATAAATCCTGTAGCTCCTCACTCCAAGCTCTTTTCTTTCTCTGGGCCTGATAATGTTGTGTTTGAATGGAAGGCATCTCCTCATTCTGAAGCGATCTTGATTCAAGCAGGCTTAGCCCAAGCCGGATGTAAGATTTCCACCTCCCTCATCCTACTTGAGTTGGGGGTGGGAGTGTTAGTTTTTCCTTGTCCCTTTAGGCCTGCTTCCTAGCTGTTAGATCCCTGGGCTCTCCTGTGGGGGAAGGACCAGGGAATTGCCTACATGAGGGGTAGTGTGAGGTGCCCTCTGAAAGAGCATCAGTCCCCTGGATCTGGTGTCTCCTGCACATCCTCCCAGAGCCACTGTTGGGGGCATTTGGAGACTATTAAATGGCTTCCCAGAAACAGCAGTTTTGGGGCAGGAGTCTGATGTCCTTACCAAGTCACAGTCCTCTCTAGCCAGCCCCTTGTGCCAGTCTTTCCTCTCAGTGTCTGAACTGTCAGAAGGCCCATCTCCTGTACTTTGTAAGCAGTTGCTGATGCTGAGAAATCAGACCTGTAGTTAGTGATCTTTAAGTTTAATATATGTCAAGTGCCATGTAGTTTTCACATCATGATTCAATGTGGTCCTCGTAACTTCACCTCAAAGCCAAATAATAGCCCTGTGTTTTAAGATGAGCACACTGTGGCTCAGAGAGCTGAGGGACTTGCCCACGTGACACTGCTGGTACACAGTCCAGCCAGGCCTCTGATCCACACAGGTCCGTGTCCAGTGCCCATATACTCTATGCCTTGCTGCTGGCTGGGTGTGTAAATGCTGTGCTCTGCTTCGATTCTTTTGACTGGGGGCAGGAGAGGTGTGTCTCCCTGAGAGGAAGAATCATTTAGGGAACAAAGTGAGTCAGATGCCACAACTCTGCAGCATCCTCTGAAGGAATTTATTTTTTTCCCATTGTCCCAAACCCCAGCCTCACGTCATTGCATTTCTATTGCATTTATTTCCTGTAAATGCAAAAATGGGAAGGCAAATGGTTTGGTGTCTAGAATGTAAGAGTAGATTGTTTAATTCTCCAAAGTGTGTTTGGGAATGGGCCTCTTAGCTTGACAGCATCTTGTCATCTTCCTCCCTGTGGGAAACCAGTAAGTGACTATCACTGCTCCGCCACTAGGCAGGGACCTGTGGCCATCCATCTCCTCCCTATCTTGCTGCCCCGTGAGCCAGCTGTGCTGCCTATGAGTTGGGCACAGCTCTGGGGCTAATCCTCCTTATCTCCTTACTTGTGGCTCCTCTGAGTCCAGAGGAGTCTCAGCTTTGAATAGCAGGAAACTGGAAGTACCTACTGCATCCTAGGCAGCTGCTAGCATGGGAGGACAGGTAACCCTTAGCCTGCTGCCCCCTGCATGGTCAGCACTGATTGAGCACCTTTGTGTTGGGCACTGCCAAGTGCTGGTCATCCAACAGTCCACACAGCATCCTATGAAATAGCCGCTGTTCATACCTGTGGCATTGCTTTCTTCAGCTTCAGTAGGCTACTGAGCTCGGTAAAGAAAACTGGGGTTGGCAAGTGATTGAGGAGAATTGAGAGCTGTGGTACTTGCTGTGAGTTTATTAGTTGAGAGGTAAACGCTTGAGCCAGAGTAGTCCCCGCAGAGGTAAGCCTTGAGCAGATCTCCAAGAAAAGGCGAGCCAGAGTTTGGAAAGTGAAAGGCTTCCTGGGCAAGGGACATAGTCTGAGCATAAGCAGGAGAGAGCCTCACAAGTGCAGGAGAGAATGAGACCAGCCCTGCTGGAGTGAAGCAGGCTCGTTGTTAGGGAAGAAGAGCAGAGAAGGCTGCAGAGGAACTACTGAGTGTTCATGGGTCAGAAAAGTGGTGTTCTGGCAACACTGTTGTGTGGAGCAAGATCTGGGTGAACCACTTAGTGGGAGGACCCAGCAATGGCGTGACGCTGGGGTTTGGGACAATGGGAATGACACCCTGTAGACCTGGCCTGCAGTGGGTTCTTCCCCCTCTGGAGTCTGCGACTTGGCGAGCAGTGGGTAAGAGATCTGAGAGCAATAGATGCTACATGGCATAGAGAGCAAGGGATTGGCAAGTCTGCTGATACTGCTTCTTCACCCTCTTTTCCAGGTTGAATCCCAAAAATGTTCACCAGAGGCCTACAGTGGCTCTGCTGTGTGGACCTCACGTGAAGGGGGCTCAGGGTATCAGCTGTGGAAGGCACCTAGCCAACCATGATGTCCAGGTCATCCTTTTCCTGCCTAACTTCGTCAAGATGCTGGAATCTATCACCAATGAGCTGTCGCTCTTCAGCAAGACCCAAGGCCAACAAGTGTCTAGCCTCAAAGGTGAGCGCGCGTGCAGGCTGAGACGAAGGCCGCCTCCCTCCTTGGCAGTTTGATGGTCTCATCGTGCCACCCTGTGGCGACAGATGGAAAGGCACTCCATGTATGAGGATGCCGCTCTGCCTCTAAGGAGTCTTAGAAAGGCGGTACGCTACTTCCATTACCCTTCTCCCCCTCCCACTACTCAGAGGAGGAGTTGGGGACCCACTGGTCCGTTCTACAAATCTTTTTTGAGCAGGCACTCTTCCTGATGCTGGGCATACGGCAATAGATTTTTTTAAATCCATTCTTCCGTGGAGCTTACCGTCTGGTTAAGAGGAACAAACACACAGATAGGTAACATTTGTGTAATTGTAGTAAGTGATATGGAGAAAAATGAAGCAGGGAGAGGAGCCATGTTGGAGGATTGGGTGGAGAATAGGAGACTTGGACATTTCAGGGTCAGGTCACAATGGGCCTTGGGGATGACCACAAGGATTTGGGCTTTTACTGTGGGTGAGATGGGGAGTCACTGAAGGAATAAGTAGAGGAATGATATAATGAAATTTAGGTCTCACATGGGATCCTGGGTGCTGTCTGAGAGTGGACTACACAGAGGAGTCCACAGAGGTGGCAAGATGCTGTTGTGATCACGGAGAGAGAGATGATGGTGGCTGAGACAGGGTGGCAGTGGCGGAGGCGGTGAAAGTGGTTCATTTCTAAGTCAGTTTTGGAGATAGAATCCACTGATTGGATGGATGAGGGGTGGGAGAAAGAGAAGAGTTGGGAATGGCTCCAAGGTTTTTGGCCTGAGTAACTGAGGTGTGATCACTGAGATGGGAAAACTTGATGGAGAAGGTTAGGGGAGGAACAGCAGAAGCTCCGGAAGGGACACCTATTGGATATGCAGGGGGAAATGTGCATAGGGAAGGAGTTACATGAATCTGAAGTGAAAGGATTCAGCCTAGAGTTAGAAGCCATAGGGAGTATTTAAACCATGATGAGCCTGAATATGCTGTCACATAGGAAGAGAGTAGATACAGAAGTTGGAAAACTGAGCTCTTTATTTAGAAGTCGGGGAGTAAAGAACATAACCAAGGAGATGGAGCAGGCAGGAATGGTGAGTGAGGAAGAAAACCAGGAGAGAGTGGCAGCCGAATGCCAAGTGAGGAAAGGAGCATGTGATCAGCTGCGTCAACAAGCCCCACTCTAGGTTAAGGTCAAAGGAAGACAGAATCAACCACTGATGTGGCAGCGTGGAGGCCCCTGGTGAGTGCAGTCTGGAGTGGAGTGGCAGGACAGAGTCTGACTGCAGTGAGTTTAAGTGAGAACGGCAGGAAGAATTGGAGAGAGCAAATGTGGCCCAGAGACAGGGCTTCACCAGTGGTCACATAGTGCGTCAGCAGCAAAGCCTGGACCAGAACCTTTGCCTCCTGAGTCTCGGGCCAGGCTCCTGTGGGCACACAGAGGTTAGGATGCCACTCTCACTCTTGAGAGCCTCATGGCCCACAGGGACTCCCCACGGTGGCACATTCTAAGCAGGAAAGCTGTGAGTCTCTAGCTAAGAAATGCCGTTATTCTAGGCTGGAGCTGGGAAGGGGGCCTGGTGTGGGTTCCCCTTCTTGAAATCTTTAACATGATGCCCCCTTCCAGGCAGTTCTTCCTCTGGCTGCTCCAAAGGTTTTCTATCCCATCTGCTCCAGGACACAAGTCTGAGAATGACCATTAAGTTTGGTCTGATTTCTGCTATTCTCAGTTTAACCTCTAAGGCCAGTACAGGATCTACATACTTGTTGAGACATCCTTTTCCAGTACTGTCCCAGAGGCCTGGTTAGAGCAGAGGAGCCTGGGAGAACAGTAATAGGTACCCTCTTAATTCTTAATTAAGGCTGGCTGAGTGGCGGACCCATTCCTATGAGATAATGAGAGGGCCGGAGAGGACAGGCTTGCTAGAGTAGAAGGAGTAGGCCAGCCCCGGGCACCTCATGAACTCCGGGAAGGCAGAGTCCACTGTCAAGTTGGCCATCACAGGGAAGCCCAAACTCAGGCCCTGGATATACAGAGGTGTGCCTGAGAAGGCAGAGGAGGTGAGGGCTGTGTACCCTGAGAAGCTCCGCACACTCAGCAGGACCATGGTTCATCCTGAGAACTCCAGGAGGGCAGTGGTCTGCTGGGCTGACATGCATTTGGTCTCTAGCACTCAGCCCAGCCAGGCCTGGCAACTCCTAGGGCAGTGCCCTGGCGCAGCTTTAAGAAGTCCAGCCTGTGGAGAGGCATCAGAGTGGTGTCTGGAAAACAGACATCCTTGGGGTGACCTGGGCCCTAGTCCCAACCGGGGGCTGCTCTCTGCTTACAGGGATTTTCAGATGGCTTTCTTTTCACCTGCAGATCTGCCCACTAGCCCTGTGGACTTGGTCATCAACTGCCTGGATTGCCCCGAGAACGTCTTCCTGCGGGATCAGCCCTGGTACAAGGCAGCTGTGGCTTGGGCCAACCAGAACCGGGCACCAGTACTCAGCATAGACCCTCCGGTGCATGAAGTTGAACAGGGCATTGATGCCAAATGGTCACTGGCACTGGGCCTGCCTCTGCCACTGGGGGAGCACGCAGGCCGTATCTATCTGTGTGACATTGGCATTCCCCAGCAGGTCTTCCAGGAGGTGGGCATCAACTACCACTCGCCCTTTGGCTGCAAGTTTGTCATCCCACTGCACTCTGCCTAGAGGGTTCCTGCACAGGCAGGACTCTGCTGTCCCCTGCTGTTCCTGAGGACAAACGCCTTAAGGATTTGAAGCTTCATGGACCTTGTTGTTAAAAGTTTTTCTCTCTTGGGTTTGATTCTTCTGTGAGAGAACAGAACTTACTTAAAACTGACCTGTCACTTGCCCTGAGCCAGGGAAGTCTTTCCCACTGGGTTCCGGGCACACGGCGGGCTGAGTGTGCAGCCCCTCCAGGCCATCTCTACCCTCAGCCCCCTGCACGCCAGGCGGGCCTTTGTTTACAGACGTAGGCAGCTCTCAGACTGTGTTTCAGGTTTACAGCCACTGGGCCTGGGCACACACATTGAGGAGTGGGCCAGGTCCTGTCTGGGGGCCTGTACCTGCTCTTATTTCAGAGCTTGTGGCTTTGTGTCTCCCCTGCTTTCCCCACGCAGACAGCCCTTCCTCTAATCACGCAGAACCAGCTGCGCGGCAGCTGTCCACCAGAGGGCAGACCTGCGCTCTCCATTCATTTCCAGGTCTGTGACAGACCAGGTCTTCCCTTACCTACATCAGAAGTTGATTTGGGGGCTTCTGACCCTTTCTCCTGAGCTGATACAAGTTTTATGCTGATTTTTCCAAGGATTCCTCCCTCCTTTCCCCTCCATCACTCAGAGGTAGGGAAGGGACGGCATTAGGATGGTGTTTCTGTGTTGGGATTTTATGTTCTGTCGTCTTCAGCACAGGTAGTATAAGGTTATATTACTGTAGAACCACAGTGCCCATCTTGCCAGCAGTGCCCGCCCCCACCCCCAAAGCTGAGCAGGCCGAGACTTTGCCTAGTCTGGGGCCAGACCCTTCAGATGGGGATATCCCTGGGGGAGCCTGGTGCTGAGCCAGAAGAGGCTTCCTGGTGCTTCTGTTCTAGGCTACCACTCCCCCACCTCTTTGCCTGCACATACATGCTCCACCTACTCTTTCGTCCCCTCTGCCCTTCCTCTGAAATGGTCCTTTGCAGCTATCATTCCCAGAGCAGGGTGCATGGGCTCCCTTGCTTGGACTCCACCCAGCTCTTAAAACATCTGGGCTTTGAACCCTTTACAGTTGTCCAGTCTAGATGGGTAGGCTTGAGGCCAGCACCCTGTCTCAAAGATGGCAAAATGAGGCCAGTTCTGGATGAGCTAGCTGGTGTGGGGTCCAACCATAGGAACTTCAGATCCTAAGGCGCTGAGCCCCAGGGCCTTCCCAGGCCTAGGCCCTGGAGGCTGGTGGAACAGGAGCTATGCCTGGAACCCTGGCAGGGATCCCTGCCAAGGACTTGTGCTTAAGCCTGCTTTGGGGCTTTGGGCTTCTGCTGTGTTTGCCCAGAGTGGCTGAGCAGGTGGATGGGTGGACAGGGGCTCACCAAGGATTGTGGACACAGGGTAGGCCCTGGTGCCATAGGTTTCAGGCTGCTATCACTTTTCTTGTAGGAGCATAGCCAGAAGCAGATGAGCCAGGGTAGAGGGCTGGCCCCTCCTCTTATCTTCCCATGAGTGTTAAATTGTCTCCAGTGGTGGGAAGAGGCCAGGGCACTATAAGCCTCATGCTGTGTATTTGAGCCTCTTCTCACTCTTAGGGCCAAGCAGCCCCCAGGCTGGGGCCCTCTCTTTAGAGGCAGGGCCACAATATGAGGCGCAGTCTAGGTTGCAGGCATAGGCAGGTTCTGGCTGCCTGTTAATACAGTTAGGCCTCCTGAGTAGGAACAGTGAGAAACAAGCTAGAACAACCCTGGCCCAGGAGACTGCTCTCTCCAGCAAGATCCAGGGATGCCAGCCTTAAGGGGCCACTGGGAGTTTGTACCCAAGCTTCTCACTCCTCTCTCCCCAGGGGGCATTGGGACTTGTCCCTTCCCTCATCCTCAGCCTGGGCCTTCCACAGAGGTATTAAAGAGAAGTATGATTCCTGTCTTCAGTTCTTTTCAGGGGCATCCTGCCTATAGTACCCAGTTCCCAAGGAGCCCCCAGTCACGTGGTGAAGCCTAGCACTCATGCAGCTCTTAGGGAACCAAAAACCAGCACTGAAATAAAGCTGAGTGACTGAGTCCTGTGCTGTGTGAATTGTTTTTGTCGTAAGGTGCTGCCTACCCCAGCCTAGGAACCCGCCCCACTTGCCTCCTGCCCTCAGCAGACCATAGTTGTTGGGCACATACAGCCTCAAGTCCCGGCCAGTAATGGGGCTGGCAGGCTATGGAAAACCAGACCTCACCTGGCTAGCCACAGTGGGCAGAGTCCCGTAGGTTCTTTGGGGCTGAGAGGTGCCATCTAGGACTGCTCAGCAGACAGGGCCCAGAGGACGTCCCCGCTTCTGGTCTTACCCCTGCCTAGCTCTTCTGTGCCTGGCCCAGTTCACACTTAGCTCTCCACAAGCTGAAGTGCTAAGAAAGACTTTATTAGTAAGGTCAGGGGAGGGGAAGGCAAGGAGCCTGGAGATGGACACACTGGTACCAGGGGTTACAAACAGTAAGAAACACTTTATTATAACTTTACAACATATAAATAGCTTGGGTCAAATCTGTGCTTTCTGGCAGCTGGGCACCAAGTCTGCTCCCCTGCAGGCTCCTGCCTTCCTTCACATTGCACTGTTCATTGGGTGGCTCTGGCCTGGGGCCTGGTGGTCGAGGCTGGAGTCAAGGGGCTGGGCGGCCCAGTCCCGCCCTCCATCTCCTCATGCGGTGGCCTGCGCCTGTCATCTGCTTGGGTTGCGGCTGGTGTGGAAGGACCGCTCCTCGGGGGTCAGGCCAGCAAAGAAGGGATGCAGCAGGGCCTCGGCCAATGTGATGCGCTGGGCAGGGTCAAATTCTAACATCCTCCTCATCAGGTCAAACAGCTGCACGTGCTCCAGGGAGTCTTGGAGCATGTAACTCTGCTCAGGGACACAAGGTGCCTCAGTGTGACGGCAGGGTCGTGGGAAGCCACAGCAGGTCCCCTTGCCTCTGGGATGCCTTGCTGGACTGGATCCAGGAGGCAGTGATGCCTCCTTGGAGGACTCTACTTCCGCCCTCCTGGACAGTGAGCAGCTCCTTTCCTTTCATGCCCGTGTTTAACGTTTTGCTCGGAACTTGCCAGGCTACTAGGCGTCTTGCTGGGTTGATGCCTCTGCCCCCACATGCAAAGTCCTGACAGGTGAGTAGAGATCACCTCTGCGAAATTCACTTGTCCGAGCACCAAATGCAGTTGACAGAGGCTTCCTGGCCATGTCTAGGTCTTCCCTCCCCCTCACCTCAGTCCTGCCTAGTTCTTCCCAAAATTTTGAGACAGAGGGTGAGTGGGACAGGAAGCAGCAGGGTTTCTGACATCTGGCTCTTCTGGTGTTCCCCAATTAAATTCATAGCCACCCTATGGGGAAGGGGTAGGGCTAAGGGCCCCTCTGGAGCAGTTTGCAAGAAGCCTCACTGCCAGCACCCAGCAGTCTTGGGTGTCGCCTCCCATAGAGCTGGATCGAGGAGGCAGCCTTTAGCGGCCTGGCCTGTCTGATGTATGTCTGCCCAGTGCCTGGGGTCTCTCCTTGGGATGAGTTGAGCTGGGGAAGCCAGAAACTGACCTTCAGAGGTTTGCAGTTCTCCTTCACATACCGGCCGTCAGAGCTGTTCTCATCCCAAACTAGGCCCCCTTTGTAGAAATATTTCTGCTTCCTGAAAATTAAGGTGGTAGGGTCAAGTGGTGAGAGTCGTAACGGGACCAGCCTCTGGCGGGGGTGGGGAAGAGCAGCTCCCAACACAGCAGCAGAATCAGGGCAACAGGTTTGCAGGGGCACACAGGGAAGGCTTTTAGGAGCCTGGGGAGCCATGGATTGTCCCTCAAAGACTCACCACATCTAGTACCCTGCTGACCCACAGCCAAAAGAGAAAAGGCCCCTATGCCAACCCCGAGGGGGCTACTGGGGTCCTTACCTGGTACGGTGGATCATGTGTGATGGGATGGGCCCTAGGATCTTCTCCATCATCACCAGGTGCTCTCGGTTTTCGTGGGTCTGTGGAAGATTAGACAGTACAAGTAGGGTCAGTCCTAGTTCTGGCCCCCTCACGGGGAATAAGGAACAAGAGAGATGGGCAAGTGCCCTCACTGCCCCAGGAGATGCAAACCTACCAATGAAACGGCAGCCTGGCAGCCCATGCCCTGTCCTAGCCCTTCCCAATGCCTTTAATTCATCTGTGCCCCTTATCTAGAAGGTCAGGTCACCTTCTGCCCCATCCTCCATCCTCGACGGCCTAGCACAAGACTCCTCTCTGAATGTTCCACCTACCCTGACCTCTGCATACCCTTTAGCATCTACATCCTTAAGAGTCTGAATCTCACAACATGACCAGTGGGAGGAGGAAGACACCTGTCTTCTCATCCACATGGGGCTTCCCACCCCAGTGGCCTGCAGCCTGTCACAGTAGCAGTGCTTAGGGTAGGGGAGTGATGTGGGGTAGCTGTACCTGAAAGAGTGTGAAGCCCCGGTAATACTCAAAGAGAATGCAGCCGATGCTCCAGACGTCACAGGGCTGTGCCCAGCCCAGCTCTGAAAGCCAAGATGGGGAGAGGCTGTGAGATCCGGCCCTGTCCTTCCAGCCTGGAGGTCACAGGGCAACCACCACACTGGCTGGCAGGACTCTTGCCCAAATCCCAGTATAAGGAAGGCCCTCTCTCAGTAAGGCTGACAGATAAGGCCAGGTCAGTCACCTCTGTCTCATGACATGGGCCCCTTGATCTGAGAAACTCTGCCTGCCCTGGGTGGCAGAGACTGATAGGCATGCCACCGCCTCTGTTCATACCCTTCCAACAAGTCCAGTGTGACAAGGTCACAGGCCATACAGTCACTCACCAAGGATCACCTCAGGCGGGCGATAGTGACGGGTGGCCACGATGGTTGTGTGATGTTCATGGTCAAAGGTGGCGCTGCCAAAGTCAGCCACTCGAATGCTGGTGTTCTTCACTGACTTCTCCTCACAGCTCTGAAAGGCAAGGCAGGCACACTAGGTCAGGAGTCTGTACCAGCGGGTAACCCACCCCTGGAGCAGGGCCTCACCCTTACCCATGCCAATACCTTGTGCTCATTGTAGAGGGTTTCAAACTCAGAATTCACAAACAGGATGTTCTCTGGCTTCAAGTCTGTGTGGGTCAGCTGATTCTCATGCAGAACTAAGAGAGCAGGGAAAGAACGAGAAGTGGGCACTGAGAACCTGGCTCTCCTGCCAGCTCTAGGCCAGAACCCTTCTCCAATGCCAGCAACTGCCAGAGCTCCTCACACCCCCACCTCAGCAGGGAGCTGGACTGCAACCTGCCTCTATGCCGGCCTCCCTCTCAAGGGTTCTCTGTACTTGAGGCCTTGGGGGGTTCTGATACTTTAGTAGGGGGGGTGGAAAAGAAACTTGCCATTTGGAAAAACCTCCCTCCACCTCTCCTATGCAGAGACCAGGCCTCCACACCTGTCTCTCACCAAAGCTGCAGCAACAGCCTCGAGGTGCTTCCCTCTTCCCAGCACCAGCTACATAATATGCAGGGTCCTTGTTCAAGTTACTAAGCATGTTACAGTGGTAGCAAGAGGGCATTAAAGCACAGGCTCTCGTGTAACTGAGTGCACAGGTCACACACCCAGGAAGCCAGCCCCGCCTCTCATCGCTAGTCATGAAGTAGGAAGCCTTTCCCCTCCAGCCCCTGTCCCACTGCCAGTGGCTTTCTGCTAGTAGTCACTTTTCAGCTCAAGGCTCCCATCTGGCACTCAAGACCCTCACAACTGTGTGGCCCACCACTCCCCAAGGGGAGCCTACTTCACTGGAACCAATTCTCAGCCCATACCAGGCTCCAGGCCTCACCAAGCTGTTCCCCCTTGTTTGGAATGCTTGTCCCTGTCCCATCTATGCAGATCCTGCACATTCTAGCTCAAGGTCTATCAACTTCACCAAAGAGCCTTTCTGTACTGCTCCAGCCATTGCAAATCCTACAGCACTGAGCCCTGGCACCACCAAATCATGCTTTTCAAGGCTGGCAGGCAGATGACGCGTCAGAGCTAAACAGAGGGTCTCCGTGTGGGCAAGGACCTGTGGTGGGATCTGGAGTTTCGCTCTCGTTGCCCAGGCTGGAGTACAATGGCATGAAGGCTTACCGCAACCTCTGCCTCTCAGGTTCAAGCGACTCTCCTGCCTCAGTCTCCCAAGCAGCTGGGATTACAGGCATGCACCACCATGCCCAGCTAATTTTGTATTTTTAGTAGGGACTGGGTTTCTCCATGTTGGTCAGGGTGGTCTTGAACTCCCGACCTCAGTTGATCCGCCTGCCTTGGCCTCCCAAAGTGCTGGGATTACAGGCGTGAGCCACCGCACCCGGCCTAGGCTTGTACATTTTTATCCCATGTATGAAGCGGGGAGTCAGGGTTGGTGGTCAGGCCAATTCCAGAGCAGTTCTTTTCTGTTTAATTCCTGAGTGCCTGGGGTAGAGGCTGGTCCAGGAAGTCCCTGGAGGGAGCCTTAACCTTTCCATCCTCACACTGAGATTCCCACCTTAAGACAGAAGGCCTTTCCATCAAAGGGGCTCTGGTGTCCCTCAGGCCCAGGAGAATGGTTAGTAATGTGCTGGAATGAATGGGGACAGCAAGTAACCAGATGACTTGGGTTTCAGCGTGTGGCCGCCCCATGCTCCTTTCAAGGGTGGACACTTACATCTAAGGGCGTGGCAGAGCTGGTAGGCCATGTGCCGGACATGTGGTAGGGGATAAGGCTGGAAGTTATTCTCCTTCAGGAACTCAAAGGTGTTCTTGCCCAGGAGCTCAAAGGCGATGCACATGTGACCATGGAAGTTGAACCAGTCAGACATCAAGACGCACAGGCTGGCGGAGAAGCATGGTCGGGGCTCAGGCTGTGTGCTGGGGGCCTGCCTCACCCCCTCTCAGATGAAGCCAGTCCCCAACTCTCTCCTAGGCCACTGGGTCACACACAAGAACGCAGGTACACACGAAGCAAGAGAATCAGAGCAAGAGCACCTCTCCCACCAGCCATCACCCAATCCCCAGATGAGCTCTGGGCAGGACTAAGCTTCCTGTGGGGAAGATGTCCACGGTTCTGGTC